GCTGGGAATTCTGGGAATTGAAGTTCACTCATTTTAAAGTTGGTAAGGTTAGATTACTACCTTAACCCATGATAAATTTTTGTAATGTCAGTGGGTGGACATATAAAATTTCAATAAAATAAATAAAATAAAATAATATAAATAAATAAATAAATAAAATAATATAAAATATAAAATAAAATAATAAAATAAAAAATAAAATAAAATAAAATAATAAAAATGCCCATTTAAAATTTTAAAAGAGTTGAGGATGGTCATAAAATGGCAGCTATGGTCAGCATAATGAAAACACATTTACAGAAGTCAAAACAGTAAATACGGTCACTCCATACCATTCAGTCAAGCATCCTAAAATATTCTCTCCCACTTCATCCTACCCTTTATTTGGAGTTGTAATTGCCATCCATCAACCATATGAATATTTTTAGGCTTAGAGGTATTGCTGGAAATACAAATTAAATTAAATTAATAATTAAATTTAAATTGTTAGTTTCTTTTGCATTTTTTATGGTCCATAATCTTTCTTTCCCATGCCTTAATTCTTTTGAGTATTAACAGTGCTTGGTGATTTTTTGTGCATATAGTTTTATTTTGAAGAAATGTATGGATGTAAATACAGGTAGTTCTCGACTTACAACAGTTCATTTAGTGACTATTCAAGGTTACAATGGTACTGAAAAATGTGACTTAGGACACAACTTTTTGCAGCATCCCCATGATCATGTGATCAAAATTCAGATGCTTGGCAACGGGTTAATATTTATGCCCGTTGGTGTGTCCCAAAATCATGTGATTACTTTTGGCAAACTTCTGGTGAACAAAGTCAATGGAGAAGCCAGATTTATTTAACGACTGGCTTACTAACTTATCAGCTGCAGTGATTCACTTAATAACTGTGGGGTTATGGGGCGAAACTCACTGAACAAATGTTTCACTTAACAACAGCAATTTTGGGCTCAATTGTGGTCATATAAGTCAAGGACTACCTCTATTGCTGCCAAGAGTATTACCTTTGCTCACTTACCTCAATGCTATGCTTTGGTGTGAGGTAGAAATATGTGGCATTTTTAGTTCATATCAGCAAACTTAATCTTTGTAAAACTCATGACTATATATTACATCTGACCAAAGCGCTCAGAAGAGTATTTAACAAAGGAGATTCATGGGAGCAAAGTCTTTTCTGAAGTATTGAGGCACCTAGTGTATTTTATTTATTTATTGGTTCGATTTATATGCTGCCCTTCTCTGGAGACTCAGGGCGGCTTACAATGCATTAAGCAATAGCCTTCATACTTTTGTATATACCTGCTTAGTAGAGCTTTCGCCTCCCCCAAGCGGTGTTCTTTTTTATACAAAGTCAGCTTATTGCCCCCACAAACCACGTCCTCATTTTACTTACCTCGAAAGGATGGAAGGCTGAGTCAACCTTGAACTTGGTGAGATTTGAACTTGCAGTAATTGCAGGCAGCTGGTGTTACTTAACAGCACTTTAGTCTGCTGCGCCACCAAGGCTCATTTTTCGGAGTATAAGATGCACCTTTCCCCCCCAAAAAAGAGGGTGAAAATCTGGGTGCGTCTTATACTCCGAATGTAGCCCTGCCTAGCTTCTCAAACGGAGGTTTCAGAGGCTGAAAAAAGCATCAGAAATGAAGCTTCAGAAAAGAAGCCCCCAAACAGAGCTTCAGAAAAAAACCCTCCAAACAGAGCTTCAGAAAAGAACCCCCAAACAGAGCTTCAGAAAAGAACCCCCAAACAGAGCTACAGAGGCTTTTTTTCTGAAACTGTTTTGGAGGCTTTCAGGGATAGAAAAGAAATTTTTTTCTGAAACAGAGTTTCAGAAGTTTTAGAGGCAGAAAAAAAAGCCAAAAAAAAAAAAAAAGCAAGGCACAGAGCTCACAACCAAGAATCTGTTTCTAAAATTCAGCTCTGGGAACAGCTGATTGGGGGTATTCTGTGGGTTGATCCACCTGCCAATCAGCTTTTTTCTTATTTTCCTCCCCAAAAATTAAAGTGCGTCTTATACTCCGGTGCATCTTATATTCCGAAAAATACAATATATCTGGCAAAGGATCGGACAACTCTTTGAAAAATGTTTGAGGACATCTCTATAAGTATATAACTTTGTCTTTTTCACTGTACACACCATGTGAATGATTAGATAAAGGAAAAATACAGTCCACCTGATTTATGTTTAAGTTACTTGCAGCTTTGTATATTGAAATTTTCCTTCTGACAGATCAACAATTTCATATTTCATGTTGAATGCAATTTCACATATAATTGCTGAATCTAGACTTTCAGCCAGTATGCTTTTAAAAAGAATGTTAGTCTATATTAATTTATACCTAGGTATATAGCTATTAATTATTTGGAATACTATAGAAACATGTATGTGAGGCTTAAGCAATTTATTTCAGTGAAGTTTCTGGGTAGGAGCTGCTCTCTGTGTCTAAACTGAGATAACAATAGAAATCCTTGCAGCAGCATGCATCATTTTCTTCAAGCAATTTTCTGCATATTTTTGGGAAATATCTGTATCCTTATTTTATGAGGAATGGATATATTCCAAATTGATTGGTCTATTTTTCTCTCCAGAATAGCATCTGTGTGAAGAAAGAAATCTTTTCACAGTTAATAATAGATAGCAGTTATCAGAATGATTTTAAATTTTAAATTGTAATGTTCATGCATATTTAGCTGAACATTGATTACTAAATGATTGCTTAAATATGTGCACAGTGCCTCCAGATTATTTCACGGTAGCCTTCAGTTCTGGGTGTTACTTGCCAAAGTCTAGGAATATCAGAATTGTAATTATTTCTACAATTCTTTAGGCAACTTCATAAATATTTACAATTTGAAATATTAGTTATTGTACCATAGTTCAAAATAATGCAAAAAAGAATAATTCAAATGATAAGGAGATTGGGTTGATAGCTGAGGGACCACCTCTCCTATTGTTTCCGCTCTCAGTCAAAAAGACATATTTTGTGTCTCTTCTATGAAACAGCGTCATCTTTTTGAAGCCCAGAAGTGTTGCTTCTCAATGGCAGCATCTGCTCTGTGGAACAGCATCTACCAAAAAATCAGGATGGCCTTGACTCTGTTAGACTTTTGCAAGATGCTGAAGATCTGACTTCAGATATTTAGGTCAGGAGATTAGGTGAACTCTACTGCTGTTCAGGTGTTCCTCTATGAACGAGGTTTTCATTTTATCCTTAGGAACTAGGGATTATATTGTTTTTGTGTTTTAATCCCAGTATGCTGTCCAGGGTTCATTAGGATGGCTATATAAATCAATAAATTATAAATTATACAGGTGAAGGCCACTAAAATTAATAGCACTTACATTAACAGTATGTTGCTTTGTACCAGTGGTGAAATCCAAATTTTTTTACTACCGGTTCTGTGGCTGTGGCTGGGTGGGTGTGGTGTGGCTTGGTGGGTGTGGCTTGGTGGGCGTGGCAGGGGAAGGATACTGCAAAATCTCCATTCCCTCCTCACTCCTGGTGGAAGGATATTGTAAAATCTCCATTCCCACCCACTCTGGGGCCAGCCAGAAGTGGTATTTGCCAGTTCTCTGAACTGCTCAAAATTTCCATTACCGGTTCTCCAGAACCTGTCAGAACCTGCTGGATTTCACCCCTGCTTTGTACTCAATTTTGTTTTTGTTTATCCTGGGCAATGAAATGAAATTTGAAACTTATTATATATTAGAATGTGCAGAAATGAATAGGTTAACACTTGAAATTAAAGAAAAAAAAATCTGATTATTATAACATATGGGAATTATTTTATCAATGGTTAGAGAATAAATATGAAAAAAACAGATGAGTGAAATAGAGAAAATGTTTTAACAAAGCTAAATAAGTTAAGAAGAGGATTGTTATAGTATTAGGTATGGTATATATTAGTATTAGTATTAAATTAAGAACAGATAAAATAATAAATATGGCTGTAAATCATAATTGCTATTGTATAAAATATTTGCACAAAATATTTGTACTCAGATGGCAAACAGTTTAATGGAAGATGATGTTCGAATAAAAATAAAATAATTTTTTTTTAAAAAAAAGAAACTTAGTTTGTAAACAGTAAGCTTTGAAAGCAATACGTAGAGTGACGATCTGCAAACACTTTAATCAAGTACTTGTAGATGGATTGCTATTTGGCAGGGTGGATAAAAATCAATGATTTTTTTAAAAAAATCAAAAAAATCAGATTTTTTTATTTAAATCGGATTTTTTTTGATTTAAATCGGATTTTTTTGATTTTTATCGAATTTATTTTAATAAAAAACTCTTGGGGTAAAAATCTATCGTAAGATAGTTTTCTATTTAAGATACATAAATAATTTAGTTTATTCAGCATGAAATGGAGCTTAGTTATGTAGCATGAGGCTGTATATTCTGCAACACTGGGACTATCGGTGAGTCAACGGTGGGTCAAAGGAGTAGCAGAGATGACAGTTGCTCTTTAAAAATTATGATTTAAATCGAGTTGATTTAAATCAAGCCTTTTCACTAGTGATTTAAATCATGATTTAAATTGTGATTTAAATCAACTCGATTTAAATCAAATCCCCCCTGCTATTTGGCATTGAAAGTTTTCCAGTCATACCATTTAATATTTTTTACAAGATAATTTGTGTAAGCAACTGTCAGAATAGTTGGTAATGATATAAAATGAAACACAAGGTTTGGAAACTATTGAAATATAACTGCTGAATAAAAAATCTCCGCAATTTCAGATACTTTTTTTCCATCTGGTTTATGGACTAGATGTTTATTCTTTCAATTTTTTTTCATTAACAAAGATGTGTTTCCTGCAATTAGTATGTCCATATGATAATTGTATCTTTCCTTTGTGTTTTTTTGCTGCGCACCATGTGCAGGAAGTTGAGGTTTGTATATCTTTTATGCATTTCTGTCTTTCTCCATTCATGCGTTTGCACTCGTTTTCCCATTCTAAGCACATTTGCTTTCTTTTTTCTGCTGCAGGATGATTATTTTCGTACATGGAGTCCGCTTACATCCTTTGATCAAGGTAAGAAATGATCTTTATACAAATAAAAAGGGTGCTTTTAATGTTCTATATATTTATAATGGTGAGCAGTAAAGTGAAAGCTGCTGCTTAAGTTATCTTTTTAGGTATTCTCCTTGAATCTACTTTTTAGAAAGTGAATTTAAAGCAAGTATAAGTTTTATATTATTATTAAGTGTCTTACACTTAATAATAATATAAAAGTGCATTATCTTAAGTGTAAGTCATTAATTAATAAAAAAGTAAAGAAAGTGATAGATTGTTAAATTAGATTAATTTTCCTTCTTGGGAGAATTATTTCCTAATAGATTAGTTTATATGTTTCCATATAACATATGTTAAATGGTAATCACTCCGTGTTTATTTTTATCGATAACTATTATCAGTGAAACTGTCACAGTAAATGGTTTTTAAGATATAAAGTCATCATTCAACTTGTATCACAATAAAACTTGCCATTTTCCCCACTCCCTTGTGAAAGCTTGAATATCACATGAGATCAGGAGCCAAAAATTGTTGGATAACGTTTTATACTTCCAGTAGCCGTTGTATAAAATTATGTCTCAGGACACGGATGAGATGATTCTTAAAAATGTGGTTCACCCATTTTTATTTCCTTTTCAAATGTGATCCAGATCTCTTTTTTATTGTTACTATCCCCAGAACTGATATCAGAAAGAACAGTTAATAATGGGTTCTTCATATATGGCTAAGGATATTAGCAGGTTGGAGTGCATTTGTGATTTATTAATTGCAATTGCAATATAGAGGGATAGAGATTAATCATTACATTCCAGAGCCTGATTAACCTTATTTTTCAACTGCTAATGCACACTAACAGACAAACAGATACAGTTTGGCAACTCATTCCTCTAAACTGCTATTAATATTAAATTGAAGAGCACTACTACAAAACAGCCAACTTTAGTCCTATTTCCACAGTATCTATGACTGCCTTCTGTGACCCCCCCTCCCCATTCATGTTTGATTACTACTATAATAACATTTCTAATTTCCAGTTTATATGGAATGAGGTGTGGTCCAAAAAACCTGGAGGTCTTCAGGTTTGGAGGGCTGTTTATCTCCTCCCAGTAATTAATCATTCAAACAAAACAGGGATCTGGAAATCCAAAAGAGAATAGATGCGAAGTAGAAGTGGAACTATGAAGCTAGCAAAATTGACAGTAAAAGATAGTTGTACTTTCCCTTAAATTTGGTCCCTTACTAAGTGGTAATAGAAGAAAGCATAGCTATCTTGTCTAAAAAGGAATTGGATATGAAGTATATATTTGAATTCTGATTTTAGTTTTGAATTTTGTTGGATAAATAACAAAGTATATAACAGTTTACATTCTGTAACCAATTAAACCAGATTTCACTGGGAAATATTTAACTTTTGAAAGACAGCTATTATGAATTGAAATACCAATAATTAATATTACAAAAATGTGTACCGTGTTTTCCCGAAAATATGACTCACCCTGAAAAGAAGCCCTATCATGTTTTTGAATACATGTGCTAAAATTAAGCCCTATCCCCAAAATTAGCCCTAATTAAGATCTCGTCCACCCTGGGGTTCAGGTGATAGGACGAGGCACATGGGGAAAAATTAAACTAGGGTGGGAATAGGGTGGTGAAGCTGCCCTACTTACCAGGCCTTGCACACCCCAACACCTACCTTGCTTTGCAGACGCATTTCTGCGGCTGCTTGCTACCACTTGTGTGTGTCACCCGCAGCCTCCAGTTCGCCATCAGAAGCCTTCCAGAAAGCCCTCTGCAACCAAGAAATGAGGTCCGGATTGACGAGCATGTCAGGGAAATACTTTAAGAGCTGACCAGCTGCTATAATGATATAAGGCAGGGAATGAGTCAACAAGGTTTTTGGGCTGATATGACTTTAAGAGACTGTATATATAAGAGAGGCCCTGTGAGGGCGTCTCTTTCTCTGTGTGTGCTTCTGTGCTATAGTTGATGATTGATTGCCTGACTTTGCCTAGTATGTGTATGTATATATTTCTTGTAGATAAACCACTATATGAAAGACAAACCTCTGTTTATTGTATTTTGCTCCTGGGTTGTCTCAAAATTGCCACCCTGTGCGCACTCTGACAGCACACATTGCCCCCGGCCTCCGTTTCACCATCAGCCTTCCGGAAAGCCCTCTGAAGCCAATAACAGATTGATCCAGAGCTCTGTTATCAGCTGCAGAGGGCTTTCCGGAAGGTTCTGATAGAGAAATGGAAGACAGGGGGCACCATGTGTGGCAATCTGGAGCCCGTTTCTCAGGTGCAGAGAGCTTTCCATAAGGCTCTGATGGCAGAATGGAGGCTAAGGACCACACGTGTGAGTGGCGGCAAGTGGCCGCAGAAATGGGCCAGCAGCGTGGAGCTGTCGGTGCCACCGTGAGGTGAGTCAGTAATTAGACCCCCGAAAAGAAGCCCTAGTCGTTTTTACAGAGATCAAAAGAAAATAAGACTGGGTCTTCATTTTGGGGAAACACGGTAATAACTTTCTTTGATGCTAAATGTCACATTATTATAATAGAATACTAATGAATTTACTTAGTTAAAAATGTCATTTGAAAAAAGCCAGTACTGGATATAGTATAGTAATAGTATCTTTCTTTATGTTACAATGTTTTATGATGAATGAATACATAACCCTGTCAATTAGGAATGCTACTTTTCATGCTTACTCACAATCAGCCTACATTGTATATAGCTTTTAACAAACATAATGTGCAGATTTTGCTGGATGATGGAGATAAAAATCTGGATCACATTTGGATAGTCTATTTTCAGAAAAGAACATCCACCATTGTATGTTTTGATCCTATAGTTTTAGATGCATTCTGAAATTTGCATAGTAGTTACTAAACAATTACATTACATTCTATTATCTCAATATTCCATCTTAATAGCCGAACTTAATGCAGTCTCCAAGGTTCAGCATTTTTCCATTCTCTTTTATTTGACACCTAGTTTGATGAAGAGCTTAAGTGAATTTAAAAAACAGCAATCAGTTCTATTTTGATTTCTTCTTTTCTGGCATAATAAAATAAATTCTCTAATAGGAATTTTGGAATTTTTCTGATTAGAAATAAAACAGTCCTTGATTTTCGACTTCTTTAATACTTATACTGCAGCACATGCATTTGTTGAGGAGAATAAATACATGTAGATAATAGATATAACATACACTTAAATTTTTAAGACCTAATGATTTGGGTATTTTTACTACCATTCCTTCATATTGTATTTACTGATTTCTCTCTAGAAAGTTCCTGCAATAAATAGAAAATAAAACCCATCTCTAGATTGTTAGATAAAAACTTAGTGTAGAAATTTTTACAGGTATTTTAAGTTTATATGCTTTGATGCTATGCTTTAAAGGACAGTAATTTCAAAATTCATATAGCTAAATTATGCTTAATAAATATGTGTAATATTAACTTAGTGAATACTTACTAGGACAAGTTGGAAGACATTGGGTGGATTATATGGAAGATGGATGGAACATTTATTATGTATTCGTACATATTTGTCCTGTTTTCTGTTCATTAGATTGGTGGCTTGGTGTTTGGGCTGACCTGGTCAACTTGCGTTTGTTAAAAATTTTCCATTACTATAGAAAGATTTCTAATAAGAAAGCAAATAGTCCTGGGACTTAACTCTTAAATAACTGAACACTTGAATATGAGCGAGAAGTGTGCTGCAGCTGCCCAAAAAGATGTTGAGACTTTAAAAAGAGTTTAGGGAAGAATAACAAAGATGAATGGGGGACTGGAGGCTAAAACATACAAAGAACAATTGCAGAAATTGGGCATGTCTAGTTTGATGAAAAAGGACTAGGGATGATATGATAGCAGTGTTCCAATATCATAAGAGGGTGCCACAAAGAGGAGGGGGTAGAATTTATTCTCCAAAGCACCTGAAGGCAAGGCAAGAAGCTATAGATAAAAACTAACCAAGGAGAGAAGCAACCTAGAACTACGGAGAAATTTCCTGACAGTGAAAACAATTAATCAGTGGAATGACTTGCCTTCAGAAGCTTCAGTGCTCCAACACTGGAGGCTTCTAAGAAGAGACTGAACAACCATTTGTCTGAAATGGTATAGGGTGTCCTGCTTGAACAGGGGTTGCATTAGAAGTAACAGTAACAGAGTTGGAAGGGACCTTGGAGGTCATCTAGTCCAACCCCCTGCTCATGCAGGAGACCTATACTAGGGATTCGAACCGCTGACCTTTCTGATTGACAAGCTCAATGTCTTAGCCACTGAGGGCACGATATTGTCACGGGAGTGGGGGGAGGTGCCCGCGAAGGCTTGAAGAAATGTTATGATTTAAATCTTGAATTAAGTCTCGTGGGGTCCGGTGGCCACAAAAGGTATTTAGAGGGAGTCCGTGGTGAAGAAAAGGACGAGAACCACTGGGGTACAAGATGAGCAGACTGAGCTGGAAGGTGGGGTTAAACGTGTCATTAAATGTGTCATTCCGGTTTGAAGAACCAGACTAGAATTTCCCTTTCAACTCTGTTATTCTGTTAATTCCATTGGCTGTTAATGAGGAATAATAGCATTCACTACTTTTGGTGTAGGATTCAACATCAGTTGTGAATGTGAGAAATAGAGGACAGATTTCACAGGTTGGACCCTGGAACAGAAGTCATATTCATGCATGTTCAGTGCTAATTAAAAGCAAACATGACTGGCTCCAATATGATTTTAAAATGGACAGGGTTTTTGCAGAATTCGTTCTCAGCCAATGTCCCAAATCTGCTTTTTCAAAAGACAACTGGACTTGGTTTTTTCCTTAAAAAAAAAAAAAAGCTCATTTGATTTCTCAAAGTTCTATCTTGGACAAAAGCAGAGGAATATATACAGAAATTTGCTATTTGCCTCACCTTGTAATATTACTTCGTTTAGCTGATTTGCTCCCTAAGCTAAACTAACACAGGAAATCTTATTTTAGCTTCTGAAGAACAACTTTGAATCATTCTGGACT